CTCCAGAGGGAACATTTTTTCTTGTTAGACTATGTATACAGAGTACGGCTAAAAGCCTTTCTAATGATAGTGCTGGGGAATGGAGCCTACACAGGTGTGATAAGTTATGTACTGGTACTTTATATTTGACTGTACAATTGCAGTGATTTGTGGGACACGATTTGATCCATGGTGCTTCCAAATCCATTTCACAATGAGTTGAACTTAGTACCTGCTTCTGCTCTGTAAGCATGTCAAAGCTTAGGAGGGTGTGGGAACATGGTGGTTAATTTAATAAGAAATGTGATTATACGGAGGAAAACTAGAGGTATGTCTCTGCAAGAGACTGACAATTAGAATAGGGGGAGAGAACTTCCATGTTGAGAAAAGCTAGGATTAATTCCAGCAGAAAGAGTGGCAATTGAATGGGGGAGGTGGGGTTAGCCGATGAAGTGAGGAGAGAGAGGGGAGAAAAATAGTGATATGAGGGGGGTGTAAAGGAATGAGATAACTTTTAAGCACACACCAAGCCAATATTTGAATTTGTGCTGTCCTTCAAAATTACCTTGAGAGCATTTATCTGTATTCCAGGAGCTGCTCAGCTCTGCTCTTTATTACATGGTTGTACAGTTAAAATAATTTCATAGCGATAACGGACTGTTGCATTAATTCTACCATTTTGCATTTTTGTAAATGGATAGAAGAAATATCTCTCCATGGATCACCACCTCCCTGTTGCAAGCCTTTGTATGCCTACGGATATTCACTGAGCCTCCACAGGACTACTATGGTAGGTGCAATCTGCCCAGAGCTCTTTTCTTCCAAGAATTCAGCTTTCTCTCAATTCCCAAGGACCAGGGCACACAATTAAGATCAAAGTCTTTCTTATAAAGCTATTCCGACGGGACAGTGACCAGAGACAAAGAAAGCACAGGCACCAGGCAAGTCCCTAAAGAGAATTCCTTGTCACAAGAGTAACAGATGTTTTGGTTTATCTGATGGGACACAGGTGTTGCTTTGATATACAGAACATTTCACAGTAGTATTTATTATAAAGTGATTTTATCAGTTTTGTTAGACACAGGTTGAACAGAGGAAGTGTGTTAGATGGATCCCAGTAAGTGTAATTCTCAGCTCATTCAGTTGGAATCTAGAAATACATGCAATTTCCCTCATTCTGTCAATGCTTATATATTGAGCATATTATATGTTAGGTGCGGTACTAGAGGTTCAGGAAGCAGTGATGAAAGGCAGGCATAATCCCTGCCTTGTTAGAATGTAGATTCAGATATTAAAACACAGTAAAGAGTGGCAAGTTATTATAGGGATGTTTCGAGAACCACAAGACTATATTGTGGGCACATATATAGTCTAGGAGTCTGGGGAGAATTTTTTAAAAAGTGAAGGAAGAGTGGTATTTAGAGAGATGGAAAGTAAAGGAAGAGCATTAAAGGTGGAGAGAATGGAAGGCACAGAAGCCTGGAGGTAAGAATTTAACATGGTGCAGCTGAGTGAAAAGAAGTTCAGTGGTTACTGGGTAGGGTGAGAGAGGGAGATGTGTGTATGTGGGGGTGCTGGAGGAGTAGAGTTGAGAAGATCACATGTGGGCCTAAATAAAGGTCTCATTGAGGAGGCTGAAAGGCAGTCTAAAAACCATGGGAAGCCATGGGAGGATTTCCAAAACAGGAAAATGGTTAGTTCTATGTTTAAAAACTTTATTTATGTAAAGCTCAAGAGTTATGACTGGTGTCCAGAGCCCTGGAGCTCTTTAGGGCTAACCTCTGAGCTTTAATAAAATTGCCTTAACAACGTTGCAATGTGTGGAGGTTGGGGAATCTGGGAGCAGAGGCGATGTGGGACAATGTGGAGAATAAAGTTCCTGCCACCTTCAAGGACCAGTGCTGGGGGGAGCTGTCCACAAGGCAGGTGCTGAATAGCTGAGGCCCTGGGCTGCCTAAGTAGGCTCCTGGGATGTGGGCAGGTAGGGCCAGGTGCTAATGTCCACCTCAGGGGTGGGAGGAAGGGAGTTGTTTTTCCTTTGTCTTTTAATCCTTTTATTTTTCTCTTTCTCTTAATTATTTTCTTCCTCTACCTTCTCATTTCTCCCATTTTCATTTTCTGGCAACCTGGGCATCTGTGGCTAAACTCACTCTGAAGGAAGAGGGAAGAAGGTATTTCTTGCCCCTCCTCCATGAGCGACTTCTTTTTATGAGAAATCAACAGACCACTGAAGACAGCAAATTCATAAGAAGACCACCTTTATCTTAGAGCTGTAAGCCTGGGTATGATTGCTAAATTGGCCATGCCAGACTCTTCTGAGGCATTAGCTGGGATGACACTATCATAATATTATAGTTGTTATTAGTAGTTTTTTCTGACTTAGCATTTAGTGTGGGCCAGGCAGTTCACCAAGTGCTTGGATTCCACAAACCTAGGAGGAGACTGACTTATCTCTGTTTTATAGAATATAACTTGACTTGGAAGATCAGTGGTTGTGATTTGTGCTATTTATTTAATAAATTATTATTAAAGGCTGGGCATAGTAGCTCATGTCTGTAATTGTAGCATTCTGGGAGGAGGCTAAGGTGGTGGATTACTTGAGCTTAGGAGTTAAAGACCAGCCTGAGCAAGAGTGAGACCCCATCTCTACTAAAAAATTAGAAAAAGTAGCCAGGCATCGTGGCCGGCAACTGTAATCCTAGCTACTTGGGAGGCTGAGGAAAGAAGATCACTTGAGCCCAAGAGTTAGAGGTTGCTGTGAGCTATGACACCAAGGCACTCTACCTAGGGCAACAGAGTGAGACTCTGTCTCAAAAAAAATTTATTACTAAGGCTACTTAACTGAGGGACAGGATATAGAAGACATGGGAGATAAAATCCGTTAATACCTACTATGCATAGATTCTTCTGATAGTCATTATATTTAGTCCTGTGAATCTGTACTGTTATTATCCTCATTTTATAGGTGAGGATGCTGGGGCTCAGAAAGGTTAGGTAATTGGCTGAGGTCACATGACAATAAGTGGCTGAGTCAGTTTTTAAACTTAGGATTATCTGATTAAAGCCTGTACTCTCTCATCCAAAGTGCTTCTTTAGTTTTATGGGCCAGTCATGTCTATAATCTACTAAATAGTTTGGTTTTAGCAAGTGAAACCCACTGTGTCCCATGTTCCTGCAGCTCCCTTTGCCCTGGGTCTTGAGGCCTCTTGCCTTATCTCTGGCTCTGGGAGGGCAGCTTCCAGCACCAGAGCATCTCGGTGGCGTGCGGGTTCCCTGTGAATGGAAACACTCTTGTTCTCTGTAATTGCACACTCGTTAGGTCATGAGGCACTATCAAACCAGGCTGGCTTTTGTCTGAATCCCCACTAGACAGTTTGGTTTCAGTATCAATATTGGAAATGTCAGTCTGACAAATAGCTTTTAACAGGGAGGATGAAGGCTAAGAACAAAGTCTCTTTCAAATGAAACTCTAGAGGATGAGTGTGCACGTCAACATTGTGCTTGCTTAAAATCCCCTGGAGTGACTATGGGGGGGGGGCTTGCTAGATTTAGGAGAGTCCCCTCTCTTAAAACCATACAAATTAACTTTATTCTCCCAGGAGGGTGAGCTCTTGCATCATCCTCAGTTTTTCCAGCCCCAGCACACAACCCCCACAATTCCAAAAGACTGTTTTACAGTGGGCAGTGCCTGCCCACACTTTACCCTTTCCTTATTTTAATTAAATCCATTTTTCCTGGGATCACTGAGCCTTGAAAGTCACATGGGCTTTGATCTTTAACCCACACACATCTGAGGGACTGGGGAGCTGGAGCTCAGAGTGGGGCAATGCCTTCTTCCTTTGGCAGCACAGATCCAGTTATGAGATCTTGGAAATAGAAGGCTCTGTGAGGTGTAGGTGAAGACTTTGAAACGCAGCTTTGCACTCACAAAGTTGCATGCCAACTGGCATCAGGCTCCACCTGGCTTTGAACTCTTTGCTCTAATTTTTTGAAGGTGGATCCATTAGGATGGTAATTTGAATATGTTTTAGGAGACTAATACAGAGGCTGCTTTGGATTGTAGGGTTTTAGGTTCAGCCCATGAAAGATCCCCCAGTTCCATTAATCTGTCCCCTCTTTTAGTCTGGGACAAATCAACACCAACTGTGAAGGGTTCCAGATGATACAGCAGCGTCATGAAGTGCTGCTGTGCCCGGACCACCTCCATCCTAGCTGTGCTTGCTGCAGGCTGACTGCAGGTGGCAGAGTGGTGCCATCCTGGGGAGAGAAGTGCGGTTCATACTCCATTTCAGAGCCACATGGAGTTAACCATGATCTAGTCCAACCCTCTCAGCTTAAAGGTGAGGAAACTGAGGCCCAGAGAAGTGAAGGATCTTGCTCAAGGTCACAGTGATGAGATCCACATGGGAACCAGGATCCATGGCCGATGCACTCCTCTGCCATCCGCCTTCATCAACCTGCCTTTGGGACCTGACTCGACGGAGCACTGGACTCAGTTGGGCTTGACTCTGATTTTAACTGGCTGGCCCTTCCCTTCTTTTATTCTCAGTTTCTCCCCCTTATAAATGAGCAGGAGTAGGAAGCCATGGTTAGGTCTATCCTATCTACCTTCCAGGTTTTGTTGTTAATAAAGAAAAAATAAAATGTCAAATCGGAAATTAAAAATCCGTCAAGTAAGAGAAAATGCTACTTACATAGAAAGCCTGACTATTATTTGGGAGTAATGTGAGTTGTTAAATTCTTTCTACAAATACTGGAGGCAGCCAGTCAGGCCAGACCAGAGACATGGGAGATGAGTACCTCTTACCGCCGTTATCTCCTGGAGAATCTTGTGCTCCTGGTAACCCGTGGACTCTGTGTGTGTGCATGCACATGCAAGCGTTCATATTTTGTGTGCACATTTGTGTGCGACCTCATCTGCATGTGTGTCTTGTGTAAAGGTGGTGGTGGGGAAGACATGGCCCCTTCTGCACTTTGGCAGATAGAGGAAAAGGGGTGGAGAGGGATGTGTAGAGGCCCACCTGTCAGACACATCCAGAAGGGGCAGCACTGTCCACTGCCACAGGCTCAAGCCTTCGTTGGTGGCAACATGCCAGACCGTCCTGCTTTGTTCCTTCCCTGTTTTGTTCTCCACCAGCACCAAGGACACATTTCCCCTCAAGACTCCACGGATAAGCCAGGACATCCGGAGCTGTGAGGGAGAGAAGAGCCGGAGAATGAGGTGTTATTGTTAAAAGGCAATGTGAGGTCCCATTTCCAGAATTCTCAACTGAAGCCTAAAGGATTTTGCTGGAGACTCAGCTGACATCAGCCTAGCAAGAAGAGCTGGATGTGCCCTGCTTGTCTCCCAAGGAGGTTTTCAATAGAGTTCAAGGGGCTGGGTAGGGGCAACTGATGGACAGTTTTGGAGCCCTGTTTGGGTTGATGTTATCCTAAGTTCCACAGGATTCTGCCCTTGAAGTGATATCAAGATCCATGGGGTCTTAACGGAACTTCCTAAAGCGTAGCCAAAGATTCTTTACTCTGTGACCTTGGGCAAGTGATTTTTTTTTTGACTCAGTTTCTTTTAGTGATTCAGGAATCATAGACTTCTATTCCTTCCCTAAGGACTCTCATAATCTTATTTGAATGGTGTCATTTCACATGTCAGCTAACTGGAGCCCCTGTAATTTGATGCTAGTGAACATTGGTTGGCAAAGGCCACAGAAAAATCTACATCTCCAGATCCTTTAATATGGTTGCCTTTGGGGATGAGGACGCCCAGTTTGCCACAATTGTATGTTTTTATTGTTCTTATTAAAAGTTTCTGTCATTGCTCCCTAGACATTTAAAAGGGAATTGTAGCTAATAATCTTTCTACGGAAGTTTAAGAGCAGTCTTGTTCAGAGGCAGTATATACTATCAACAGGGTCTCTGGTCTTGGGGTTTGAGATGATAGAGGTGTTATCTTTGATAGAAACATCCATAAACTTAAAACCTGGGACAACTACATCATATTATTGCCCCAAATATTCCTGTTCAGAGCTTGCACATTTTTTGTAATAAACAATGGCTATTGCAGAAAAAATGTAAAATTTTCATCAGCTGTGCTACCCCCTTTCTCTGACTCTCCTTGTTTGAATATCTGCTTCTCTGTAAATTACCTTTCCATTGTCTCCCAGTCCCTGACTCATAGCTGCCTCACAATTTAGTTAAAAAGGTTAAGTACCATGAGCTACTGTACCACAGACCTCCTACCCTGTGGCACACAACCCCTTCACTAGCAAGGCCACACCTGGGCATTGAGTCTGATTTATTTCTGGGACCTTGGACCTACAGGCCCTGTCTATAGCCGTGGCCTGTTCACTAATACCTATCCCATTTCGCGCTATCCGGTGTACCAAATACATATCTCCATTGAGAACTTCTAGAATAATTGAGTGAATCTGTTAATTTTTTATCTGGCCTCAGGGGGCTTTCTTGTGCCATCGGGATGCCATGACTGGAAGTTCCAACCTTCCCCCTGCTAAACCTCTTGCAGTTCTCCACCCAAGCCACACTTGCCCAGCTTGGGATTGCGCCCAACACCTGGTTTCTCTCCTCTTGCTCCCTGACGGCCAAATATTGCTGATTTCTACTTCTGTGAATTCAGACTGGTGAAGCTCAAGGCCCTGTGTGGTGAGTGGTACTTATTCATCCTCTGTTGATTTCCACACACATATAGCACAGGGAGCGTTTCAGACTTTCCTTCAAACGCTGATGCTCTCAGCTCTGAGTCCCCAACTCTCTGTTCCTGCCTTACTGAGAAGGAACTGCCAGGTCAGGTCCAGTCTCCCTCAGCGCTCCTTCTCTCTTTTGCGGACCTATGCTGCCCTCTTTTCCTTTCCCATCTCAGAGGAAGCTGCATCCTTCACTGGTTTCTGTGCTGGCCCATTTAGTCCCCATGTCCTTGCTCTTGCAAATTACTGCCCTCTGTTCTCCAGCACCTGAGGATCTCTCTACCTACTGGCCCCTCCTTTGTCTACAATTCAGGTCAGGATTCACCCATTCTGGAAAATATCCTGTACTTGATTGATCCTCCTGCTCCCTCCGGCTCGCAGCCCTGTCTGGACTTCCATTCAGATGTTCGCATTTGGACAGCTGGGAGGTGACGGCTGCTTCCAGTTCCGTGCTGTCCATTCTGTCTGAATCCTTTCAAGCTGCCTTCTACTCATTTCCTCATCACTCTAACAAAACAGAGCAACCATGTCCTTTATAAAGTACTCTCCGGACTCCTTCTGTAGTCTCCTGAGTGCCTCTCCCTCTCCACTTTTTCTCCCTCCTGAGTTCCCCGATATAGCTCTGTCAGATTTTCCCATTTATCACGGCCATCTGTGACTTAGGACTCAGCAACCTTCAGTGGTTTCTCATTCTCTATCAAAAAAAAAAAATGAAAACAAGGCATTCTCATTCTTCTACAACCTATAGAAATCAACATTTTAGTTATTCAGTGAATATTTATCAAGTACCTATGCTGAGTCGCACGTATCTCTATTCTAGAGTGGTCTAAGACCTCTGGAATTAGAGACATCTGGATTCAGAGTGAGTTCTTGGCACTTTGGTCAAGTTATTTATTCATTTTGAAGCTTGGTTTCCTATTCCAGAATGGGAATGGTTTTACCTACCATATGGGGTTATAGTGACCATTAACTGAGAAGATAAATAATGTAACAAAGTATTACCCAGGCCTTTTGGCTGAGGCACTGAGGCAGAAGACACCATATTTTAAAGGAAAATGTGGGAGCATGAGGGGCAGGACTTTTAGCAGAGGTGGGCAAAAATGGGTCACATTGTTCATAAACTCTCACCCATACTTTAGATTTAAAAAAAGTTGGTAGTTGACTATGAGGAGAGAGTTTTGGGAACGTGCTTTTGGCATATCATGAGGTCCACTTCACCCTTCTGCTAAGAAGGAGAGTGGGGGGTGGTTCTTTGTTTATCGCCAGTCAAGAGAGAGAGGTTTGATGATGCCACATTGAGTACTTGATACTTACCCCCTGAAGGTTGGGAGCACAGTGGGCTAGTGTCTGTCTCTGTCTGGAATATTTGGAGTTTGGACTAGGGGCTGCTTAGCTGCTATGATGGCAGAGCCAGGAGAGGGGGCAGCATGCTTGGCCCCCACTCCCAGGGTTTGCTGGGGCAAAAATGCATGAATGCTGCACATGGGTGAGGAGAGCTGTGTGTAAGGCAGGTAATTAGACCACAGCAGGGAGAAGATGCTGGTGTCTCGAGATGCCCAAGGGTCGAGGAAGGAGGAGGTGACCACCTATAATAGAGGTGCACATCCCCCGGTTGAGGGATAAGATTCCTAGCCCTTGTGGAGGGCTGAGGAGAAAGGGAGATCTCCAAAGGAACCACAAAAGTGGCCCATGTGAGCAACAGTAATCCTCAAACATTTGTCATGTCCAGATCCCCTACAGTCCCAGTCCCGTAAGAACTGTCTTATTCATTTACCCTCCTGTCTGTCCCTGTGCTTCCAACCCCGAGGGGTCAGAGGTCAGCAGGATGACAGAAGAGGAGCAGAGGCTGGGTAGGGAACAAGAGTGGCCATTGACCATCATTCCCCTGATTTCAGGCTCTCCATCTGCAATAGGGCCAGGTGTGGTGGGGACAGAGGAGGGAAGAAACCCCTGACTTTAAAGCAAGATTTAATTTTTGACTGGATGGGTGGGTTGATTGCTAAACATGCCTGTGTTTTGTATTTTGAAGTGACTTCAGAACTATGTGCATAACCTTCAAGTGACAGATAAGTAGTCGGCCTGCCGGAACCTTCATCCAGCCACCCACACATGGGAGCCCAACAAACGTAGGTTCCCAGACTGTCCTGCACAAATCTAGTTCCTGGATTCCCCATTGATTTGTGGGAGCCAATGAATGGGGAGTGGCTGAAACCTGGGTGGTTTAAGAACATAACCAAGTGGCTGGGGAGTGGGAGGTCCTTTCCCCTCCCTGAACCCGACTCCTGAGTGTGGGAGAGTGCAATGGAGCTTCACAAGCTTGCATTTTTCTGCTTCTGTGCTTTTTTATCCTTCAGCTTCCTCCACCTGCTTTTTCTTTCTGCTCACTGAAGAAAAATGAAAACTTTTTCTTTGTTCAGGAAGTCTTTTCTTATCATCCATCTCAGAAACGACCTCCTCCTCTGAAATCTTCTAACTAAGGCTATGGAGACCATCATGGCTGTAGCCCCGTCCTCCTCTTGCCCTCCATCCCCTGTAGGTGACGAGCTCCTTCCAGGCAGAGACTGTCTTACTCATCTCATGCTTCCAGCAGCTGTCAAGTGAGGGCGCACGGTGGGAGCCAATCAACGTCGGGATGAGTAAAACGTTTACACATATCAGCAGATACTCCCCTCTCAGGGACAATAAGTCAACTTTCTATCCCGTGATGCTCCTTTGCGATCCCCCGTACTCAGGAATTGGGTTCCAGGGAAGGGGAGAGACCTCCCACTTCCCAGCCACTTGGCTATGTTCTAAACTGCCCAGTTCTCAGTTGCTCTCCAGAACTTTTCAGTTTGAAGCAGACTCTGCAAGTGGCCTGGATAGGTCAGTAGCTACAGTCCTGTCATGTCTGTGCTGGGACTCTGGGCTACCTGGCTGCTGTGTACTTTCTCTATTCTCCTGTATTATATTTTGAGTTAAGCAGATTGGGCAAAAGAGAGAGAACTCGTCTGGCCACCCAGGCACAGTGCTAAGGCTGTGGCACGTTGGTCTCCCAAGGAGGTCCTCCAGGATCTTCTTAGTATCAGTCCTCAAAGGCGATTATCAACTATTTACTCACAAATAGTTACTGCCCTTACTCTGTGTTGCAAATTATTCACATTTTCTCTACCCCTTGGAGAACAGCATTTAGTCTGGAAGTTAGAATTTAAATGAATAATTACAAATGTGTAGCAAAGGGTGAAACAATTGCAGCCATGTAACAGTCAAGACATAGGACACAGACAGTCAGAGGAAGACACTGGACACCAGACAGTCAAGACCTAGGTCAGGACAGCCACGTGACCCAACTGTCCAGAGCTATGGATAATATGAGAATTAGAAAAATAACTTTCCTTTAATCTCATCATGGTCCCACCTACATTTAGAGCAGGAAACTTGTATCTACAGCCACAACTCCAGCCCAGGTATGCACTGAGTGTCAACAATGTCTCTTTCTGGGAACAAATGCAAAAAG